AAAAAAAGAAGAAATATGCACTTCTAGATGATCAGGTGGCATTAGCAGTTCAGGGATATGAAAATAAACATGATAAGATATTTTACTATGGCAAATCTGCAATGAATTAAAAGTCATTATTCAGAATTATTTTTCATGAATTCAGATATTATGTTTGATAATAAACATATTCTATATAATTCTAGGCATTCTTCCTTTTTTTCTTCAATATTTTTAATTTGTTGTATATTTTGTAATATATTTTTTTTTTAAAATTGTTGTGTACTTTTTATCCTTTAGACTTCATTAGAGTACTAAATTAGACAAGTCATTTGGCCAAAAGTTTCACAAAGTAGGAAGTATGAAAAAACAAACAAATAAAAGCTTCAAAATTTAATTAAACAAAATTCTTCATTCCATAAAAAATAAAATGGTATTTTGTGCAACATATTAATTTGCCAAAATTTCACCATACAAATATAAATCATGGATTGACTACAACTTATAAGAATATGTCTTAAACTTATAATATAGACTTGGATATTGACATAATAGTGTTGTGGTAAAAATATAATGGAATTTATTTTTAAAAAATATTTTTACTTCAAGCCAGAATTAAGTTTTTAAATAATGTAACATACTAGTCTAGTAATCCTTGAGTTTACACTAGCTAAATAGTAAAATTAAAATGATTCAGTAATTACTTGTTGAATTAGATCTTTGACAATACTGTCACTGTGCATGGCTCTCTGATCTATCTACTTAACTATATGCCTTTATTATACTATACTAACAATATGCAAACTGAACAAATATTTCTAAACACTAGTATGCATTTTTGTATAATACTTGAATGTTTAATATAAATAATATATAAATTAGAACTTGTACTGGACTTCAGTTTCAGCATAAGAATAGTTAATATGTAACTTAATACTTAATCACAATATAATATAAATACTAAAAAAGAACATGTGAAATTAATATTTTTTTACTTATACTTAAAATTGACACTACAACTACAATGTATATTACCATTAAAAACACAAGATGATTTATACTTGTTGATATGCCTAAATAATATTTAAAAAAAACATTATATTATATGTGTAACACACTGCTACTCTGACATGGCGTGGGATGGTTATTTCTTATGCTGTGGGTTATGTCAGTAGTATGGTTACTTATATTAACACTTCAGGATGCCGACTCAGTCTTCTTCATTCTTTCACTTATTATTCAGGCACGTAAAGAAGAATACTCAATTCTAGTTAAAACTCACAGTACTTTATTGAACACACTTTATATTGATAATATTAATAAATAATCCTTGCATGAATGTAATTTCACATATATATCTATAGTATTCCATCATTAAGAAAGACACGTCCTCAGACTACTATAACTCAGCTCAACTGTCTAATC